TTTAAGTGTTTTCTTTCCTTCAACTTTTATTTTAAGTTCGGGGTACATGTGCAGTTATTTTTGTTTATTAAAAAATTTATTTAGAGATGGGATGTTACCCTGTTGCACAGACTGCAGTATAGTGGTGTCATCATATCTTACTGCAGACCTGAACTCCTGGACTTAAGCAATCCTCCTGCCTCAGCCTATCAAATAGCTAGGACTACAGGCTGATGCTATCACATCTGGCTAATTCAGAAAAAAAAAAAAATTAAAAAGTATATACATATATGTATGAGTTTTTAAGAGATAAGTCTGACTGGTTGCCTGGGCTAGTCTTGAACTCCTGACCTCAGGTCATCCTCAGCCTCCCCAGTCACTGGTATTACAGATGAAAATATGTTTTATTTTAAAAATAAGGAAGATGATTGACTTTTTTTCACCAAGCAATTAACACCGCATAGTACATGTTGAGGAAGTGGGTGTTTCTTGCTTTCTATTGTTAATCTGATGATAGTGAGGGTGGAGAGCACTTTGAAAAAATATTTGTAGAAGGAGGAGAGATAGAAGTGAGCTGAATTAGAAAGTCTTTCACGTATCCCGAATTAAGGGCATTCTTGAATTTTTAGAATACATTTCCTTGAGGTAGACAGTAGTTTCTCAAGGAGGTACAGAGTTTAAATATGTAAGCTTGGCTTCAAATACTCTTAGGAGATCCTTATTTTTTAAAATTAATTTTTAGTTTAGGGGCTCAGTGTACTTTCTTATACTTGCAGGAAAGAAAAGGGCATTGCCTGCATATTGACCCTTGGAAGCTAGATTACCAGATGCTGCTGCTAATAGCAGCTAACACTTACATAGGACTTACTATGTCTCATGCACTGTTCCAAACTTTGTGTGTATACACTAGCTCAGTCCTCACAATAGCCATCAGAAATAGCTTTATTATTGTGCTTCATCAAGTCTAAAATATATCGATGATGCTTTCTTGCTCTTGCTAGAAGATGCTAACAAAAGGCTTTCACACAACTCTATCTCTAGTGACACCAGATTTATAGTAGCAATTGCAAGATGTCTTGTAAGACTGAAATGTAAGATGCACCCCAATTTTAAAGAAGTTAAAATAAGAAAGCATGTTAGAATTGATGAAATAGAATCTCATTCCTATTTTACAGATGAGGATCCCAAGGCAAAAAAGATTAAATACGTTTTCCAAAGTTACAGTTAAGTACTCAGTATGTGCCAATCATTGTGCGGGGCACTCCATAAACAGTATCTCATTGAATCCTCAGAACAATAGTGTGAGGTGGTGTATATTCTTTTATAGAACAGAAACCTGGACATCAAAGGCCCAGAGACATCAAAGTAATTAGTATCTGGGAGACTTGGGATTCAAACCCAGCTCTACTTGTCTTTCTGAGTTTCCTATTAGGTTACCTTGTAAGATACCATACTACGGGTCACTTTAAAGCCCAATATACGTTTGTAACAAAAATGAGTAATAGATATGAAGCTTGAGGTAGAATAGACATTGGACTTGGAGCTAGGAGATCTCGATTCTAGATCATACAAATCACTCTACTTCTCTGGGATCTGTGTTGTCCTTAAGAAAACTGAACCCAGAGAGTGGAAGATCTGAATATTTATTTTCAGATCAAGAAAGCAGATAATTGTCTTAAAGATACAATTTGAAAAGTACAAATTGTGATTAATATTGATGGTGGTATCAATACCTTCAGTTTGTGGCATTTGGTTTGTTAACAGTCCCTTTATGATTACTTGGTCAGTATTGCTATCCTGAATAGAAAACAGAACTCATGAAGATCATTTGTAGACTTACACATGTGATTACTTATGTAAATGAAACACGTTAGAGATAGTTTCATTTTAGTCTTTGAATTCCACTTAAGTCTTTCTAGAATATGATTCCATTGGTGACAGTGTTTTTTCCTGTACTTTAAGTGACATAAAAAGCATAGTTATACCACCTTTTTTTTTCAAATTAAAAATAAAGAGGAAATAAGGTAGTCACAGTGTCTTCTTGCATCGTTCTCACTGCAGGATTGATACTGTTTGCTGCTGCTCTATTCAGTTTGAGGGGAAGGCCCCAAATGAGTCAACATTATTTGGACTTGCTTTTCAATTCTTAGCTCTTATTTCCAATAACTTAGAGTCAAGTGTGATGCTGTGATATGACATGCTATAATGTTGATGTCCAAGTTTTCATTTTTTGGAGAGGAATTCTGTTATATGTCATTAATACGGGTGACCTACACCTGCAAATACCCAAGCTATAAAGATAGGTAAGCCATCATCTGTAAAGTGTCTCTCTTTATAGTGTGCAAATAGAATTTTGAATGTTTGTAGAGGCTCTGCCCTTATCCATGGGCTCACCATACCTGAAACGTGAGGTTGCAGATCTGCACCGGAGCCCTCTGAGGAAGCACACTGCAGTGGCTATCGGGGCTTAGCATTCAGGAGTTTTCAGCATAAGGTAAGGCACCAAGTTGAGGATGGGGTGAGGGAGGCAACATTGAAAACCACTAAATAGTCTTGTCTGAGTTTTTATTAATTTTATGGATATATAGAAATAATCCTATAGGAAGCACTGAGTGTGACAGCTAAGTTTCTGGATACGGGGTTGGGTAAAAAGGGGATAATGCTGGGAGTCAGTAGCATCTAACATAGAGCATCTGGCATGTGCGTGTATAGGTGAATATGTATGTTTGACTAGTCTTGTAGAATTGTCAGTGTTAATGGGATAGCTAGTTATTTTTATGATTTTCAGAAGAGTTTATTGGCATTGGGGGGAATAGAGAGAGGTTAGTTAATGTGTACAAGCATATAGTTAGATGGAAGGAATAAGTTCTAATGTTCAACAGTAGGCAAGGGTGAGTACACTTAACAACAATGTATTGTGTATATCAAAATAGCCAGAAGAGAGGGCTTGAAATGTTCTCAATGCATAAAAATGATAAATACTTGAGATAATAAATACTCTAAACATCTTGATCTGATCATTATATTCTGTGCATGTAATAAAATATTACATGCATCCCATTAAAATGTACAAATATTATGTATCAGTAACATTTTAATAAAAAAGAAGTAAAACTTTCCTGGTGAGAGATTCCATTTCTAGTTGGACTGATATTTTGGGTTTTAATCTATTGCAGGCGTCCCCACACTTTTTACACAAGGGGCCAGTTCACTGTCCCTCAGACCGTTGGAGGGCTGCCACATACTGTGCTCCTCTCACTGACCACCAATGTAAGAGGTGCTCCTTCCTGAAGTGCGGTGGGGGGCCGGATAAATGGCCTCAGGGGGCCACATGCAGCCCCGCGGGCCCTAGTTTGGGGACGCCTGATTTAGAGGGTAAAAACAAACCATGAAAAGTGCTGATTGCAAAAACCCAGAAATAGCCAAGGTTGGGTATTGCTGATATAAATGAATTTTTCCTCCTTAAGGTGGACTTTTGTTTTAGTCAGTGTTGAAGAACTGATTTTTTAGCAATTCTTGATAGAATACCCAGGTAAATATAGGTGAGTCCTTAGCTGTGGAACTATGGTCTCTGACCAGTGACTGCTGAAATCTGGAATCCAGTTCCCAAGTGAACAGTGGTAGTCCAGAGAAATCTGACTTAATATATAGTACATATTAATAGTAATATGTAAGGAAGCAGGGACAAAATTTATTTGTGAAATAACAGTGTCTTGGCTGGGCGTGGTGGCTCACTCCTATAAGTTCCAGCACTTTGGAGGCCAAGGCGGGCAGATCACAAGGTCAAGAGATTGAGCCCATCCTGGCCCATATGGTGAAACCCCTGTCTCTATTAAAAATATAAAAATTAGGTGTGGGTGTGGTGACACACGCCTATAGTCCCAGCTACGTGGGAGGGTGAGGCAGGATAATCACTTGATCTTGAAAGGCAGAGGTTGTAGTGAGCTGAGATCGTGCCACTGCACTCTCAGCCTGGCGACAGAGTGAGATTCTGTCTCAAAGAAACAAAAAACAAAAAAAAAGAAATAATAGTGTATTTGAAGGAACTGTAATAACGTGAAAATGAATAGAATAAATGAAATTGCCTAGATGTCTACGTAAAAAAAAAAAAAAAGAAAGGCAAGATTCTAGCACTAGGAGACTTTGTTTCTTTTTAAAAATTTCCATAAGTTTTTGGGGAGCAGGTGGTGTTTGGTTACATGAATAAGTTCTTTAGCGGTGATTTTTGAGATATTGGTGCAGCCATCACCCAAGCAGTATATACTGTATTCAATCTGTAGTCTTTTATCCCTCACCCTCCCACCCTCTCTGTCCCTAAAGTCCATCGTATCATTCTTAAGCCTTTGCATCCTGGTGGTTTCACTCCCACTTGTAAGTGAGAAAATATGATGTTTGATTTTCCATTCCTGAGCTACTTCACTTAGAATAATGGTCTTCAGTTCCATCCAGATTGCTGCAAATGCTGTTACTTCTTTCCTTTTTGTGGCTGAGTAGTATTTCATGGTATATATGTACTACAATTTCTTTATCTACTCATTGATTGGTGGGCATTTGGACTGGTTCCTTATTTTGCAATTGCGAATTTTAGCACTAGGAGACTCAAAAATAAGGGGCAATTGGAACCCCTTGAACTCTAACAACTGCTGTGGTTTCTCATAATGTTCTCCTTCCTTTATTTTTCTTTTATTACTTTTTGCTCTATATGGTCTGCAGATAAGACTTGGTGACTGTTACCTTCTTGTTGATTATTATTCTCACTTGGAAATTTTGTCCTAATGGTACTGTAATATGTATGTTAAATTAAAACTACACTGTTAATTCCTATTGCAGTAGCTTCTCATCTAGCTAGTTATTAGGTCTTCAAGGATGGTGAACAATAGGTAGGTAACCCTCTTTTCATATGACCTATAGACATATAGGTTAACATGAGGTGTTAAACGGAGTATTGTTGTTACTTTCTTAATGGATAATTTATGTTTTCTAATGGATTTTAATCTTAAAAATTTGTGTGTATTTTACAGGTGAACCACTGAGTTCTTCATTATGTCTGATGGAGATTATGATTACCTCATCAAGTTTTTAGCTTTGGGAGACTCTGGCGTAGGGAAGACCAGTGTACTTTACCAATACACAGATGGTAAATTTAACTCCAAATTTATCACAACAGTGGGCATTGATTTCAGGGAAAAGAGAGTGGTAAGTTCTATATCCTTCTGTGTAAAAATGTAATCTTTGAGTCAACATTCGCTGGTCTGTTCAGTTTACTTTGTAGGAATTAGGAGGACAAAGGTTGCGATCTGAATTTAAAGGGTACATATGAAAGCGAGTATGTTCAATCCAGGCAACACAATTGAAAAGGCTGTGCTGACGACACTCCATATGAAACCAGGCAGACAAAGTGAAAGTGGACAGCTCTTTAAAATGTCACCTTGCTACTCTTTTGGGTCGTATCTTCCCTTCTGAACTCCAGAAATTATTTGTATACCTTTGTCTCGAAGCCTGCAACCACTCTGCTCCTCATGCTGGGCTGTATCTTCCACCTTTGGTATCTTATTATTATTATTATTATTATTATTTTTTGAGGCAGAGTTTCACTCTCGTTACCCAGGCTGGAGTGCAATGGCGCGATCTCGGCTCACCGCAACCTCCGCCTCCTGGGTTCAGGCAATTCTCCTGCCTCAGCCTCCTGAGTAGCTGGGATTACAGGCACATGCCACCATGCCCAGCTAATTTTTTTTGTATTTTTAGTAGAGACGGGGTTTCACCCTGTTGACCAGGATGGTCTTGATCTCTTGACCTTGTGATCCACCCGCCTCGGCCTCCCAAAGTGCTGGGATTACAGGCTTGAGCCACCGCGCCCGGCCTATATCTTATTATTTTTAATGGCATTTCTCGTAATAATGTCTTAGCAATTCCACATGGAACACGAACTGGCAGAACTCATCACTTCTGCCAAGAGCGTGAGGTTGGAGTAGGAGTGGGGAATGCCAGTAGTGGTTGTGATATTTTGCAGAATGTTGAAGGGAGAAGCTTTTACTTATTTATTTTTTTAAGGACTTTAAGACTGAAAGTTATTCTAGTGTTGGAGGGGAAGGCAGAAGGTCATTGTGTCACATTTGGAGATGAGGAAAGACGACCTTCTCCTTAGACTACATTTCTTGCTGAAAAATTCACTGTTACCATGAAACAGATAAACAGGTAGTCAGGAAATTAATGACAGAGGTCCTTTAATGGATCATATGCTGTCAGAGGGAAAGGTCCCTGGCTTCTAGGACAGAACATTTGTCCATTCTAAAAGATGAAGATCCACTGAATAACAGTAGGGTCCTAAGGAAATTTTTAGTATTGACATATAATTGATAGAATCTATGTATATGTATGTGGTTATTATTGCTGGTTATTTTGTAACTTAAAAAATAGGTTTATTGAGATATAATTCACAAAAAAGGAAATCCATCCATCTAAAGTATAACATTCAGTGATTTTTAGTCTATTCAGAGTTGTGTAGCCATGACAGCTATTAAATTTTAGAATAGTTTCATCACTTTAAAAAGAAACCCCATACCTATTAGCAGGCATTCCTCTTTCTACCTCCCCTTAGCCATCGTGAATTTTTTATCAATGGTTTCTGCACACATCATATAAATGGAATAATATATGGCCTTTTGTGACTGGCTTCTTATACTTAGGATGATGTTTCCAAGGATCTTCCATGTTGTAGCATGTATCAGGATTTCATTACTTACTATGGGTACATAATATTCGATTGTATTGATACACCATTTTGTTTATCCATTCATTTGTTGATAGACATTGCGTGTGTTTTTTTTTTTCAATTTTCTAGTGTATCATTTTAATTACCATTTAATTTTTTTAACTATGTAATTTTGACTTCTTTTTTAATAGTTCCCTTGGGAATTACAATTATTATCTTAATTTTTAACAATCTAACTTTGATTAATAGCATCCTAATTTTAATACTGTGTAAAACTTTGCTCTTATATGGCTGTTTTCTCCCTCTTTTTGTGTTGCTGTTGTTATACAAATGACATCTTTCTATGTTGTGCGCCCATCATCAACACAGCTTTACAGTTATTGCTGTATGCAGTTAAAATTTTTTTCTTTTTTCTTTTTTTTTGAGACAGGGTCACTCCCTGTTGCCCAGGCTGGAGTGCAGGGGTGAGATCTTGGCTCACCGCAACCTCTGCCTCCTGAGTTCAAATTATTCTCTTGCGTCAGTCTCCCAAGTAGCTGGAATTACAGGCACCTGCCATCATGTTCTGCTAATTTTTTGTATTTTTAGTAGTGATGGGATTTTGCCATGTTGGCCAGGCTGGTCTTGAACTCCTGGCCTCAAGTAATCGACCCACCTCAGCCTCCCAAAGTGCTAGGATTACCGGCGTCAGCCACCACATCCTGCCTGCAGTTATATTTTAATCTGGTGGAGGAAAAGGATTACAAAGAAAAATATATTTATACTGTCTTTTATATTTACTATGCAGTCCTGGTGCTCCTTATTTCTTTGTGTGCATTTAAGTTACTGTCTAGTGTCTTTTCAGTTCAGTCTTAAGAGTTATCTTTAGTATTTCTTGTAGGGCAGGTCTGCTAGAGATGAGTTTTCTCTGTTTTTTCTTAATTTATTCTTTAATTTTAGAAGATAGCTATGTTACTGATTTCTAAATTCTTTGACTATATTTATAATACCTGATATAAAGTCTTCGTCTAATAAGTTTAATATCTGGGCTTCCTCAGGAATAATTTCTGTTAGTTACTTTTTTATTGCATATGAACCATACTTTCTCCTACCTAGGTTTCTTGTTTTTACTGCATTTATTTATTTTTTTGTTGTTGATTCTTTCCCCTACCTGGGTTTCTTGTTTTTACTGCATTTATTTTTTTTGTTGTTGTTGTTGCTGTTTGTTTGTTTAATAATATTTCTGGGATAATTTTGCGAAGTCTGTATTCTTTGTATGTAGCTGTCAGTCAACTTAGTGGACAGCTAATGGGCAGGCAGAGTTTATTAAATTCCTTGAAGCAGTAATTCTCTTAGGTTTTTCTGAGAATCTCTGTGTGTTTGTTGGGGTATGTGTTCAATGCTACCGCAGGCAGTTTACAACTCTGCCTTAGCTTTTATTTTCTGCCTGAGAAGATCCTCAAAGTCAGTCAGAAGAAAGAGATTAGGACCTTTTTAGATCTTTCCTGGGCATTTATAGAGCCCTGCACATGAACATGGCCTTGTACGTTCCAGGGAATATTTGGGAGCGTTGTAGACATTTCCTTTCCTATTTTTTTCTTTAATTCTTATTGTTAGACTTTTGTTAGCACTAACTGGTATTGCTGCCTCTGGTGGCCGTGATGTTAAATAATCACTGCTGATAGTTTTCAATAAATGCCCTAGGGATAGGGCTGTTTTCAGAGAGCAAGCTTGGAGTGAGGTCAGGTAAAGACAAAGCTGGGGCATGGAGCTTTTCAAGGGCCTTCCTGACAGTTTTTCTCTGTATGGGACTTTTCGGGAGCTCCAAACCTGTTGTGCCTCTGCTCTCCACAGTGGTGGCTAGGCTGGTGTTTTCACAACTACCACATTTGTGCATTCGCTGGTTTTTAAGGCTACTAAAAGCTGGAGTGGGGGGGATCAGAATAGGGCAAGGTAAAAAAAAACACCTCAAAGCTTACTGGTTTTACTGATATTCACCAGTTTTTCTTGAATAAATGCTCCTTGGCATGTTGCAAGTCTTTGTTAGTTTCTAGAGTATTGAAAAAGTTGATTTGGACAATTTTCACCAGTTTTTTTGTTGCTATCAATAAGGAAGAACTTTTTTTTTTTTTTTTTTTGAGACAGTGTTTCACTCTTGTTACCCAGGCTGGAGTGCAATGGCACGATCTCGGCTCACCGCAACCTCCGCCTCCTGGGTTCAGGCAATTCTCCTGCTTCAGCCTCCTGAGTAGCTGGGATTACAGGCACGTGCCACCATGCCCAGCTAATTATTTGTATTTTTAGTAGAGACGGGGTTTCACCATGTTGACCAGGATGGTCTCGATCTCTTGACCTTGTGATCCACCCGCCTCGGCCTCCCAAAGTGCTGAGATTACAGGCGTGAGCCACCGCGCCCGGCCTAGGAAGAAATTTTTGATGGTACTTTCTCTGCTTTTCTAGGTGTTTTCTATAAAATCGTTTTAAGAGCACTTTTAAAATGTGCGATGGGACAAAGTAAAATTGTTCTACCAAAAGTACACCTGCACTCAAATGTTTATTGCAGCACTATTCACAATAGCAAAGTCATGGAACTAACCTAAGTGCTCATCAGTGGTGGATTGGATAAAGAAAATGGGTTACGTATACACCATAGAATGCTATGCAGCCATTAAAAAGTGAAATTCTGTGTTTTGCAGCAGCATGGATTGGGCCAGGGGCCGTTATCCTAAGTGAATTAGTGCAGAAACAGAAAATCAGATGTCATAGGCATTCTCACTTACAAGTGGGAGCTAAACTATAGGTACACATGGGCATAAAGACAGAAACAGTAGATACCAGGGTCTCCAAAAGGGGGATGGGAGTGGAACAGGGGCTGAAAAACTACTTACGGAATACTACATTCACTGTTTAGGTGATGGGTTCAATAGATGTCCAAACCCCAGCATTACACAGTATGTATATGTAACAAACTGGTGCATGTACCCCCTGGTTAAACAAGCAAACAAAAAAGATGAGATTGGGAAAAGCCATAGAAATGTATTATTTCCTGAAACTAGTGACCCAAGAGAACTTTGAGGAAAGGCAAGCTCATTACTATATTTTATACGAGTTATTTTGCATACATATTTTATAACATATTTATAAAATATATGTATATATTTCAATATAACTTATTACATTACCAGGGTATAATTATTTGACCGAAAATACAAACATGGTTGTATTCCAGATGGGATTCTCTTTAGAAATGTAGATGCCTTAGGGTTTGTACTGAATAAAAAGGTGAGAATGCTTCACTGGTGTCAGAAGTTCTCTTTTGTTTTCTCTTTCACTTTGCTGTTTTAGGTGTACAGACCCAATGGGCCGGATGGAGCCATTGGCAGAGGCCAGAGAATCCATCTGCAGTTATGGGACACAGCAGGGCAGGAGAGGTATGAGATCTTCAGTGCTTTTTACTGAAGGGAAAGGGAAAAACTGACCTGAGCAGGAAAAAGCCAGCCAGTTCGTTGATTTGCACTTGGATAAGGTATACTGCCAAATTAGCAGGGAATTTGTCAGTTTGAGATGAGATGAGAATGGTGGCTTTATTTCATACAAGGTCCAAGGAAAGGTTAGGATTCTTGCTTGCGGACTTTTCTTTTTCTGCTTTTAATTTTTTGATTTACACACTTTGCTCCATTTCCTTTTGACGTTTACTCAACCACAAGAAAGTGGCCAAGTTACATGGATTATTCTTACCTGATTGTTGAAAACTATTGGGAAATCTGGTTGGAATTAATTCGCATGACCAGAGCTTACTTGACCAAAATAAACCACATAAGATCTTAATTATAAAGTTGCTTTTACAAAACTTCTGTTTTCTCTTATAGCCACCTTGAAGGATTTTGTTTTTTAACTTTTTATTATGGAAAACTTCAAGTATATTCAAAAGTGGAAGGATTATATGATAAACCCATGTACCCATTACTCAACTTCAACAATTATTTCATTTATACACCTTACCTCTTCTTATCCCTAGCCCCTTACCATATAATTTAGAAGCAAATTCCAGGCATTATATTATTTCATTTGTAATACTTGTGGTATGTAGCTCTAAAAGATAAGAATTTTTTTTTTTTTTTTTTTAGATAGTGTCTCGCTCTTTTGCCCAGGCTGGAGTGCAGTGGCACCATCTTGGCTCACTGCATCCTCCGCCTCCTGAGTTCTAGCAATTCTCCTGCCTCAGCTTCCTGAGTAGCTGGGACTACAGGTGTGTGCCACCACACTTGGATTTTTTTTATTTTTTATTTTTTCGTAGAGATGGGGTTTCACCATATTGGCCAATCTGGTCTCAAACTCCTGACCTCGTGATCCGCCCACCTCAGCCTCCCAAAATGCTGGCATTACAGGCGTGAGCTGCCACACCCGGCTAAGAACTCTTTTTAATAAAAACATTGATTAAAAGTATTTGAGAAAAAAAACTAATATTGCTGATTAGATGACAAAGTCATACCAATATTTTCTTCCCTGGAGCCTGCTTGTCAGTTACAGACTTTACATATAGGCAAAGATGAGAGGAAACTGACTGAGTGTGGAGTGGGGATAGGGGTGGGGAGAGAGAGAGAGAGAGAAGACAGAGAAAACAGGAGGATAAAGGCTTGGAAGGCAGAGTACTAAAACAGAATAGGGTCTGAATTAAGAGATTCTCACATTAAAGCCAAACAAATGGCTATCAGAGTTAAGAGATCTCTGCATATTCTGAAATTAAAAGATCATGGAACACATTGTAATGTCAAGTCAAGCATTCACAGAAGGAAAACATACACTATTGCTTTTGGCCAAATTAAGTCATAATTGTACAACAAATTCTTGACTGAGACTAAGATCACAAGCTGGCTCTTGTCATCCTTGTCCAGCAGGATGGGTTTTCAAACCACATGGTCTGTTAACACTTAAACTGATATAAGTGATTAATAACTATCCTTTATGCTTTTGGAATATCACCATTGTAGCTCGTTATTGGTAAACTTTTGTAAGAGGCTGAAGGTATTGCTTGTAGCTTTATATTTCAGGAATGGGGCCCTGGTTTAAGTGACCATTCTGCTTTTATGTTCCTAGGTTTCGTAGCTTAACGACAGCGTTCTTCAGAGATGCTATGGGTTTTCTTCTACTTTTTGATCTGACAAATGAGCAAAGTTTCCTCAATGTCAGAAACTGGATAAGTAAGTGTTATTGTTTCCCAGTATCCTGCTACATGCTCCCCTATTTACAAAATGCCTTTCTTATGCTATAAATTGTTTTAGAGGAACTCTTAGTGCAAATACGATTTTAAGGAGCAAGGTTTTTAGTTTAGGGGCAAAGATAATTGAAGTACCCTGCTTCTTCCTGGTACTGATGATGTTGATTTGTTGAGTACTTCTTGTGCTCCAGGTAGCAGACAGCACTTTATGTGTGCGCTCCTTCTCAGTCTATCCCACAGAAGAGACTCTTATTTCCATTTTTTTTTTTTTGAGACGGAGTTTCTCTCTTGTTACCCAGGCTGGAGTGCAATGGCGCAATCTTGGCTCACTGCAACCTCCGCCTCCTGGGTTCAGGCAATTCTCCTGCCTCAGCCTCCTGAATAGCTGGGATTACAGGCATGCGCCACCATGCCCAGCTAATTTTTTGTATTTTTAGTAGAGACGGGATTTCACGATGTTGACCAGGCTGGTCTCGATCTCTTGACCTCGTGATCCACCCGCCTCGGCCTCCCAAAGTGCTGGGATTACAGGCTTGAGCAGCCATGCCCGGCCCTTATTCCCATTTTATAGATGAGGAAGTAGAAGCCTAGACAAGTTAAATTGGTAAGTGTCCCCTTGTCTATTGTGTGCTATCAATTCTTCTACGATCTCTGGGCATTACATATATATTACATAGATGCAGATAGCTTTTGAAGGCTTAGTGGATTATACCCCTGCTTCATGTCTTCTCTGTGCTTAGAGTCCCCTTCTAGCTTTTAGGATTAGCGTATTTTTCAGGAGAATTCTGCCATAGAAAACTCTACTGCATTGGTAAAGGTGGTCCCCAGTGCAATGTATGTCAACCTTTATTTTGGAGAGATTTTAACCTCTGAAATAATTGGTTAATAGCCATTTAGACTCTTGCCATTTGACTGCATAACAGCTTTCAAATGTATACTTTCCTTCTTTGGTCATATTAGTATAACCCTAGAGAGTTTATTAGAGAAGCCTGTAATATTAAATTTGTAACATCTAAATCTTTAAAACACTGATTAAAAAAATATTACTTAAAATTACTTGCTGTTTGGGAATTATGAAAGGATAATTGGCTGTAGTCTTGATTGTAGAAAACCTTATTTTTAAAATGAGTTTAAAAATAATTTATCTAGTGCACTGTGGTTTTCACATGCTTTGTATCTGATCCTCACAATCATCCTGTGCAGAGGTTTGGGTCAATGTTGTGTCCTTATTTCAGGAGGAGGATATTGAGCCTTAAAAAGTAACAGACTTATCCAAGGATGTGAAGCTTTGACTTTCAGTTCAATGGATTTTTATGCCCGTTCTCAAGTCATTTGGCCACTAAGAATTGAAGAGCTATTAATTACTTTAAATATGAGTTCCCCAAATATAGGAATGCTGACTGGGGCTTCACTTCATTAGATGTCTGGCTGAGTTGCATACCTCATTACTTCCCTGTAGATGAATGACAGTGGCTATTTATGGTCTTACTCTCAGCCCATCCTCATCATCCCTCCTTTGCATCATCAGAACAAGTTCTGGGGCTTTTAAAAACCAACCATTTTATAAGGATCACTAGCGAGCGCTCACAGAATCTCTAATTTTTAAATTAGCATTGAAAAATAAACAACCCATCTGTTTTTCATAGGTAGACGCTAAAAGTCTGAGACATTAGGTAAATATTGCCCATCTAGGCTAACTAGTTGGATAAAGAACAAAATTATGTGAGAAGATGTACACATATCTATGTATTTTGTTTTGTTTCCTTTAGAGAGTAAAAGAGTCCTTATTGTTCAGTTAGGTAAAGAACACTTACACGTATTGAAGATTTTATATCTTTAATACAAAGCATTTTCCACCCCCTACCATTTAAATGAAAAGGTATAATGTTTAGTGTCAGAAGTGGTAATATCAAATCTTAATTAGGAACAAAAATTTGTTAGTTATCGGTAGTTTTAATTTTTATTCTATCAGCATTTTGAATATTAAAAGGATCATTCATTTCTTGTCTCTTAATCAAAATAATAGCTTAATACACACACGCATACACACACATGCATAGACAGACACAAACATACATATATATATATATATACACACACACACACACACACATATCAGTGGTGAGTGCCAGAACACATTGTTACATTAAAGAAGTAGCTGGCTCATGGGCCTTGACTGGCCGAGGCGGGAGGAGAGTAGGTCTGTACTCTTCCCTTACCCTTTGCTCCTTACAGACCCTTCCCTCTCACTCCGTCTCTCCATGCCCTCTTAGGAAGGGTGAGAAGAGTCTAAAGTAAGCCCCACTCAGTTGAGGAGATAGGCAGAGGCTGAGTCCTCTGGGGATGGATTAAATTCTGAAAGGAATTTGGTAGTGCGGTGGTCACTGCCCTGTCGTCCCAGAGTTCAGAAGAGTAGGCAAGTCATGCCCAGAGTCACTCTTCATTCAGTGCTAGTGTGTTTCGCAAGGAAACTTTAAAGTAGCCTACATTTCTAAACTTCCTTCTGTAGACTCACATGAGGAGTACAAGAAATGAATAGTATGTATTTTCATATTTTTGCCTCTCTAATTTTTATTCCCATTATTCTCTGTCTGAAAAACCTTTTCACACCCACCCCGATTCTTTAGCCAACTGGAATTGTGCTTATTCTTTGAAACCAAGCAAGGATGGCCCCTGTGGTATTTTCTGTGATAAGCTTAGTTATGTTAGATGTTTTCTGTCCTCTTAACCCCTGTTACATTTTATACTGTTTATGGGGTTGTTATTACATCCAGTATCAGATTGTAGATATTTATGTATGTGACTTTTATCTAAGTGAAGTTTTTAAAATAACTGACTAATTTTACTTTTAAGATAAGCACAGTCTTAGTAGAAAAAGTAGGAAAAATGCAACAAAAAGAAGAAATCATCAGTCATCGTACTTCCTAGACTGCCCAAAATAAATACTGTTAACCATAATTACTGGTGATACCTATGTGCTCTTCTAAATGCTTTAATAAATTAAGTTAGTAGTTTTCAACTATGAATGTGCATCTCAGTTGCCTGGAGGAATTTTTAAAAAACAGATTTCCAGCCCCATTTCCAGCATTCCTGATTCAGCAGATCTGGGGTGGGACCCGAGACTTGCATGCCAACACATTCTTAGGTTATGCTAGGGCTGGTGGTTCACGGTCTTTACCTACAGAATCACTGAATTAGTTCATTTTAATCCTTAACTTGACTATATAAAGTAAGTGGTATCATTATCGCCATTTACAGATGGGGAAACTGAAGCAGTCAAATAACTTCATCAGGGACATATAACCAGTAAATGGCAGAGCCAGGATTCAACCCTAGGTACACTGGATCCAGAGTCCATGCTCGTAGCCTTGACACTGGGCATGGGCTTGTCACACCTTAGAAGGTGCTAACAGAGCACAGAGCCACTCTGGAGACCACAAAAATAATGAGGTAACCATGAAGCAAGTCTTGAAGGAAGGTTGTGGTTAAGTATTCAACAATGTGGGAACAGCATGTGTAACAACCTGGAGGAAAGAAAGGGCATGGCTTTTCATGAAATGATACATAGTTTGGTCTCTCCTCTGTAGGTCTTATTACCCCAGTTGCCCTATGAGGGCAAAGAACTGTTGTGAAAAACCATGCAGAGTATCAGGCGTGTACTAATGCTCAGTAAACACCTGCCTACTTGACTTCCTCACGATAAGATATAATAAACCCAACTTCCTAATGAGGAACTAAAATGTCCACACGTTTCTGGTTAACCATGATGAAAAATAAATTAGGCCATAAACTTTGAAGTATGTCTTATTGTGAAAGTTTAGGCCCTTATTTTTATTCTGGGGTGTGATGAGTAAGAAATGAGGCGTTATTTTCCTACTTTGAAAGATTGAACTATTTAGCTTAGTGAAGTTCTTTTGTTTGAGTCAATAGCTTTTTATAATTGTGCCTATTTTCAGGTGAAATAAATGCTGTGGATAAGAGTTATAGTCCTCGGCTTCCACTTGGTTCTGGTGACAGAATCATTTACTGTTTATTCTGGGCCTTTTCTCCTCATTGAAGTCTGTATCTTGTTTGTTTTAAATGAATTGATTCTGCCCTAGGATAATAGAAAAATGTGAAAAACATTTTGGATAGAAACAGGTCAGTTTGGAGAAAAACAATTCGTTTAGAAATGTCATTGCTATGGAGAAAAAAACCACATAAAAACAGTTTTAAGATTAGCAATAAATCGTAGGAACACCTCCAAGTTTCTTTTCAAATAGCCTTCATAATAAAGAAAGGTGTTTTGTGTGTGTGTGTGTGTGTGTTTGTGTGTGCACACATGCGTATGTGTACATGTGGGCCCTCACACTTGAGAGTTAGCACATTCTCTTATAAACTCTCTGATAGCAATAAACTGGGGTATGTGCTTAAGAACAGGAATGGTTTTCTATTTCTGCCCCAATTATTCAGATTTCGGATAAGATTATTGATACTTTGAAAGCATTATCTCAATTCCCAGTATCTATATGTGAATTACAGTCTTCAAAGCACTTTTGCATGAATTGTTCATTGATCATACACTCACATTATTATTTATGTATAATAAACTTTTCTATGTGAATAGGCCAGCTACAGATGCACGCATATTGTGAAAATCCAGATATAGTGCTATGCGGAAACAAGAGTGATCTGGAGGACCAGAGAGTAGTGAAAGAGGAGGAAGCCAGAGCACTTGCAGAGAAATACGGGTGAGTATTTTTGTGGCGAAGTCTAGAGAAAACACTTTCAATATAAACATTAGCAGGTGAATGGTAATGAAAAAGACAAAAGTGGAAAATTAAAGCAAAACTTCAACCATAGGCCTTGGGACGTGTTGAATATCTCCTTTTTATATTATATGATAATAGCAGCCATCAAAAATGCATGTGGCAAGGGCTTCCTTCAGTGCTTCGGTTCCATTTTCTCAAGCTCTTGGCATTTGCAGAGATACAGTTTTTTTTTTGTTTGTTTGTTTGTTTTGAGACAGAGTCTCGCTGTGTCACCACACTGCAGTGTAGTGGTGCAATCTTGGCTCACTGCAACCTCCGCCTCCTGAGTTCAAGTGATTCTCCTGCCTCAGCCTCCTGAGTAGCTGGGACTTTAGGTGCATGCCCCCATACCCAGCTAATTTTTGTATTTTTAGTAGAGTTGAGGTTTCATCATGTTGACCAGGATGGTCTCGATCTCTTGACCTCGTGATCCACCCCGCTTGGCCTCCCAAAGTGCTGGGATTCCAGTTGTGAGCCACTGTGCCGGCCCAGAGAGACTCTGGCGACTTTGAGTGCAGATGCATTAAGTGTGTAAAGCCTTCTTTCCAAGATGCAAATAGGAGACTCCTGGGGTAAGGAAGTCCTCTATGTTGAGCCAGGAAATTTCAAAGCAAGTTCATATGTTATTGTAGAGAACGCTAGCATATAAGAAGTGCTTATTGGTTATTGCAGAATAGGTGCTGGTTTTGAAATTTCTATGCTGGTGTAATGTTGGGGTTTAGGGGTTCAGAATGTCCTCAGCTCCCCTGAGAGGACATTTCTCCAGGTTCTTGGTCTCCTGCCCTCCCAAGAATGAGAGAGGGGACCATGGCGTAGTGCACAGTAAATGCTGGACCCAAAAGTATTTGTAGAAAGTGATTTTATTTAAGGAGAGAGAGAAATAGGAAGAGAGAGAAAAAAACAGCTAACTCTCACATTGAATGAGAGAATCCAGAAATATGGATTCAGGAGAGAAAAGCAGCTTCCACACTGAGTGGAAGGGAATAGAGAGAGAGATGGAGTTTCAGAGGAGAAGACAGTTTTCCATGAGAGTGGGGAAGGGCACCCCAGAGGGGAAATCCAGGAGATAGAAAGAGCTTCCACGAAGAGAGTGTTCCTGGAAGGGGACCCAAACATGGAGTCCAAAGGGGTGTGGAAGAAGGGGACTTTTAATCTGGGAGGAACCCCCACTTCTCTAAGACCCCAGGCCAATGAAGGGAGTTCCTTAGAACTTCTCCTGGCATGACTGACTCTTAGTTTCTTCCGGAGCTCAAACAGAAACCATGAAATCTCCTGGATGGAGAGAGGTGGGAGGGGAGCATGGTGCTGGGAAATTCTTGCCCTTAAAACTATGCCCCCTTGTGGACCGGGAAGAGAACACATTCCCTCACTGGGTGAGGAGTGTGAGATCTCCTTCGGTTTAGTCTTTGGTTTTGTGATGGAGAGTTGGGAAGATACTCTCTTTCTCCTTCAGTTCTGGGAATAGGATCATAGCAGCAGCAACAGCAGCATGAATTGGACATGAAAGAAGTGGTCAGCTGCTACATTAAAGTATTAAAGTCTTAAGGGTGCCTCTAAAAGGAATTTATAGTTTACTTTCTTTCTACCTCTCATACAATGAGAACCCGTATGTAAATTCTAACCCTTACTGATATTAAAAGAAGAGGGCAGCAAGTGGATTGAGAAGAGATGACGTAGAGGTTACAGTGGGTGTTACCTGGCCTGCGGCCTTGGTGGTTAGCAGAATCCAAGGAGGCCAAGGAAAGACGTTTTCCTATTCATTGTGCAATCACTGTTTGATTCTTTCTTTGGTTGAGGGAGGTTCAGAAAGCTAGTAAGGTTTATACTGAGAAGGAAGAGGGAAGATAGGTTGGCCAGGTAGGAAGAAGCCAGACTCTGGGGAACTTTGAATATCAGATAAGGAGATTAGATTTGATCCCTGGGGGACAGGGAGTTCCTGAAAGCCTTTGAGCATGGAAGGATGTTATGTTTACTTTTCCAGGTCATTCTAGATGCTGTAGGTGGGGAGGGAGGAAAGACTGAGAGGTTACAGTGGGCTGTGAGGTGGGCAGAGGCTGGATTTGTGAAAAAGGAAAAGGAAGAATAAATCAGGAAAAACAAATAGGGTAGGGCAGGATTTTAGATTTTTCACAAGTCTAGCTCAGCTGAAGGATTCCCCTCCACTGTAGGCTTACTCTGGCAAGGATTTGCAATTGGATGGAGAGGTTTTTAACCTAGGGCAGATGCTGTCTAACCATGTTAGAAACATCCAGAGAGCTTTTAACACGTGCTCATGTCTGGGCTTCACCTCTGACCATCAGACATGATTCTTCTGGAAGAGTTTCTCAGGCAGGGTTCAACTGAAGAAGCATACCTATACATGAAGGGCTCTGTTACAGGAATTTGAGCATATGCAATTGTGGGAGCTAGGTAAGGAGTCTCTGTAAGGTGTTGTCTTTGTGTTTGATGCTGAAGCTTGAAGGACAGGACATGCAGACCAGAAGAGAAGAAGGATGTGAAGTGGGGGATGGATGAAAAAGTAAGAACCAGCTGGGGCCCATGATGATGGACACTAAAATCCATGTAAATTCCTGTTGCCTCTGACCTAGATGGTGTGGGTGTCCTGTAGAAACTGGGCCCCTTTGTCACAAGGCTAACAACATTCACCTGGCCCAGGTACAGGTCTGGTTGCTGGTTTATGCCAACATGATGAGCCAGCAGATAAGCGACAATGTATGAGGGCTACGAAATGGGTGTTACTTTACTTCTCACCCCCAAAATTGCCCCCAAATGTCTTTCTTGCTCCACCCTAACCAGAAAGGGAATTCTGGGAAACGTTGTTTAGCCTAGCCAAGTTCACTTGTTACAAAGCCTGAGCATGATCGTCATGTGCAGTGCTTGAGAACCAGTAACGTAGGTGATTCTGAGGTGGAGGTTGACAGAGCCTTACCAGCCATTCTGAAATGCACCCCTGCTCCCCTGAGAGGCACTCCTATAATGCAGTGGAAAAGAAACAGGGAGAGATCAAATACCGTGGAGAATACTGAAGTGTTGAACTGTGAGGTATGTTGCAATGGGTAAGGAGGAAGGAAGCGATGAAGCAATGGAAACCATGGATCTAGAGCATGCTTTTGAGAAGTATGTCAGTAAATGCAAAGAAAAAAACAAAACAAAAAGGCAGTTAGAGGAGTTAGCTAGATCAAACAAGCACGTTCAAGTTCATTCTCAAGTACTGGGGAAGAGTCAGGCTTGACTTCTTGTCCCTGTGGGCTTTTTCAGCCCTTTGCTTGTTTCTTGTGCCCTGGTTCTCAGGATTCCACAGCCTGTCTGGTATCACAGAGCCTAACCTTGCCTTCTGTCATATGGGGTAACTGAGGAACGTAGGGATCATCTTTCACTTGTCTTCAGGTCACGATGGTTATGGAGTATTTTATAGAGAGGAGCTCAATCTGTAGTTTTTGAATTGGGTTAAAATGAGAAGAGAGGATTTAGCAGATAACGATTGAAACTCTTGAGGAAAGGAAAGGGCTGGAAACAGAGTCCCTTAGGATACAGAAAGCATAACGTGTAGTTCAGTAAGCTGTTTGGCACTTTCAGAGGAAAATATGATGGAGCAATTTGGTTCACATGCATATCACAAATTTGGCATATAAATTTAATGATTATTATCACAGATGTTTTGTTTTAGTCTTATTACAACATTTACACTGGTTTCACATGCACTAGAGGACTACATTGTTTAGTTTATCCATGTGCTAACAGTCAGAAAACAGGATAAAGTTTATGGCATATCTTCATATAATTCGTTTGTCTGATAAATTTACATTTTTTTATTATTATGATGCTTGGTACGGTGGCTCACGCCTGTAATCCCACCACTTTCAGAAGCCAAGGCGAGTGGATCACCTGAGGTCAGGAGTTAGAGACCAGCCTGGCCAACATGGTGAAATCCCATCTCTACTAAAAATACAAAAAATTAGCTGGGTGTGTTGGCAGGTACCTGTAATCCCAGCTACTCGGGAGGCTAAGGCAGGAGAATCGCTTGAACCCTGGTGGGGCAGAGGTTGCAGTGAGCTGAGATCACAGCATTGCACTCCATCCTGGGCAACAAATCAAAACTCTGTTTCAAAAAAACAACACCAAAACCATATCACTGACTCTGGAATAGACATACATTCCAAGAATGAAACACCATGTCTCAGAAGAAGGCTGGAAGCCTAATAACTCCACGGTGCGAATATGGAATATTAATCTATATATGCTGGGACAAGTAAATTTGAAAATGAGGACTTCATGTAACAGTCAAAAATGTGAAGGCAAATGTATGCATGGTGATGAATAGCAGCAAAAAATTTGTAGTGGTCTAAGAGTCTGTTTACCCCTGATTTTCCATGGTTTTTTAGTTTGTTTTTGCTGTGAAACTTGGTTAAATTGTGATATGAAGCTCTTAGGATGCCTCCTAACAAATCAAAGTGATCTTTCTGGTAAACCAGTTGAATTTTCCTGGAACAAGTGCGACATAATGGTTTCTAATGTATTAGATTGAGTGATATTGTCAATGAAGTTAGAGAAGAGAGCAAAACAGAAAGTCGTTCCAACTTGTACTCCTGCCAGCCAAATGATTACAGTTCACACTGTTGCTGAAACACTTAAAAAAGACCGCTACGAAGTCAGAGACAAATAGACGAGAAAGCAGAAATACTGGCAGCGTTCCTCTCGTAGAAGACATTATTAGATCTTAAGCTTCAGTGTCCATCAGAATCACCTGAACACTGGGTGCCACAGTTTCTGATTCAATAGGTTTGGGTTGGAACCCACAAATTTATACTGATAATCAGTTTCCAGATGTTGCTGCTGCTGGTTCAGGACAACACTTTGAGAAGACCAGTGTAAATGCTCAGTTCCTATCAAATGTGGATGTTAGCAGACATTTTACTTGACAGGTGAACATGCTAGCAGAT